AATGCTGTTGTTCTTCAGCAACATATTCGTATGCATATGGGGGGACAAATCCCAAATACACCATTACCAGAGGGCTTCCAAGATGCCATGGACTCAGAACTTTCTTACGATGAAAAAAATGTTGAAACCCTGAGCAACTATGATGACGACATTGATGAAAATTCTATGGAAGAAGACCCAGAGTTAAAGGACACAGCAAGTGACTCGTCCAAACCACTAATATCTTACTCTGGGTCATGTCCCCCTTCGCCACCTTCTGTAATCTCTAGTATTGCTGCCCTGGAGAATCAGATGAAAATGATTGATTCTGTCATGAACTGTCAGCAGTTGACCAGCTTGAAATCCATAGAAAATGGATCAGGGGAAAGTGACCATTTAAGTAATGACTCCTCATCAGCTGTAGGAGATCTGGAAAGCCAGAGTGCAGGCAGCCCTGCCATGTCAGAATCCTCCTCATCCATGCAAGCATTGTCTCCAGTAAACAGCAACAGTGAAAGTTTCCGGTCCAAGTCTCCAGGTCTGAGCAACCAAGAAGACCCACAGGAAACACCACTAAAGACAGAAAAACCAGACAGTCCACCACCTGCTCCTGAAAATGGAGGTGCACTCGATCTGACAGCTCCTACCCCGGGCAGACCAGTCATCAAGGAGGAAGCTCCTTTTAGCCTGCTGTTCCTCAACAGAGAACGTGGTAAGTTTAAAAGTACTGTTTGTAATATCTGTGGCAAGCCTTTTGCTTGTAAGAGTGCATTGGAAATTCACTACCGCAGCCATACTAAAGAACGTCCATTTGTTTGTACAGTCTGCAGTCGCGGGTGTTCCACTATGGGTAATTTAAAACAGCACTTACTGACACACAAAATTAAAAGAAGCTGCCTTCTCAGTTATTTGAACCCAACTTTACTCTAGGTCCCAGCCAAAGTACTCCTAGCCTGGTCACCAGCACTGCGCCTACTATGATCAAAATGGAAGTGAATGGTCACAGCAAGCCGATCTCACTGGGGGAGGGCCCTCCGCTTCCATCTGGAATCCAGGTTCCTGCTGCACCACAGACAGTGATGAGTCCAGGCCTCACTCCTATGCTGGCACCCCCACCACGGCGAACGCCTAAGCAACACAACTGTCAATCGTGTGGGAAGACCTTCTCCTCAGCCAGTGCACTCCAGATACATGAGCGCACCCATACTGGTGAAAAGCCATTTGGTTGCACAATCTGTGGTAGAGCTTTTACCACAAAGGGGAATCTCAAGGTAAGAAGGAAAACTCTCAATCTCAAAAATCAACTCATAAGGAAATCAGAATTATTGAAAGGCATCTTTCTTAGGCTTTACAGGCTGTTTTGCTATGTTCCTGGCCAGGAGAAATGAGAAGCTAAGGAAACCTATTGTACGTTGTCATGTGTTCCTGTCAAGCATGGTAACATGCAAGGGTTCAGTCCTGCCTTTTGATGTGTGGGTGCTTATCAAGGCCTGTTCTTCAAACTTGATCTTGTGAAGCTAGGCCAGATGCGTGTTTATAGCCTGTTCAATGAACTAGGCGGTGAATGCACTTTGCACCTTGGCAGGCAGGCCCAACACCCAGTGGAATATTGGTATGAAAAGAAACCGACATTTAAAGAGCTGTCACAAAATAAAGGACAGTCATTCTCAAAAAGAAAGAATGCTGCAGCAACTGTGAGGTTTGCTAAGCAATTAAAAAAAAAAGATGTGTTCTGTTGTTCTATGTGTCCACCAAGAGGAGCTGTGATATACAAGTTCTAGAATGTAGAGGAGCATAAAAGGAGTTCAGGAAAAAAAAATAGAGCTCATGGTAAACCCACTTCAGAACTTCCCATAGTGTGTTTTCTGACAAAGCTCACTTCTGTGAAAAGGCACAGGACTTGCTCGTTGCTAGTAGACCTGTGTCTCTATACTGCCTCTTACTGCACATCCTGATTTCTGTTCTATGTAACATGCATATCTTGGAAAGTTGGGTTTCAGTAGGCTTTTAGAGGACATCTCAGAGGTCAATATTCCTATTGTTCCCATAGCTCAGATATGCATGGATGGGATAAAGGTGATATGAGGACCATCTTCTCATCACAAAAAGTTCATAGAATGTTTTAAAACTAATTTGGGGGTTCTTATTCAAAGGAAAGGCAGTGAAGCAAGAGTACAGGAGAAAAAAACAGGGTCAAAATTACTAGATGATTTATAAGAAAATGGAGATTAAAGGAGTTAGGCTGAACACAGTAAGAGAGCACAGGTCTTTATTCTCACATACTGAAACATTCTCTTGGCGGCCCTTGTGTTTTGTGAATCTGGGACAATTGTGTTTTGTTGTTTCAATTTTTGTCACCTCAAAGAATACATATTCCTAATGTTAAAGTGTACTTTGTGTCTTTAAAAAATAATGTGCTTATTTGATCATAAGCTATTCCCCAGAAAGTTCACATGAACCATTTTATGTCACTCCAAATTGCTTGGGAGAAAAAGAAAAATGGCCAATAAGTACCTGAAGGTTTGTACGCTCAGATTCTATGAAAATGGCTGTATACAGCAAAGTAACAATTTAAGTTATGAGAATTTGCTTATTTGTAGTTTTTTTTTCTTCTCTCATATTTTATATGCAGGTTCATATGGGAACTCACATGTGGAATAACGCCCCTGCAAGACGTGGCCGCCGACTATCTGTGGAAAACCCCATGGCATTGTTAGGTGGTGATGCACTGAAGTTCTCTGAAATGTTCCAAAAGGATTTGGCAGCTCGGGCAATGAATGTTGACCCCAATTTTTGGAACCAGTATGCTGCAGCGATCACAAATGGACTTGCTATGAAGAACAATGAGATTTCAGTCATACAGAATGGAGGCATTCCACAACTCCCAGTAAGTTTAGGTGGAAGTGCCATTCCACCCTTAAGTAACATTACAAGTGGTATGGACAAAGCTCGCACAGGCAGCAGCCCTCCTATTGGTGGCCTGGACAAAGCAAGTTCAGAAACAGGAGCCAGTCGTCCATTCACAAGGTTTATTGAGGATAACAAGGAAATTGGTATAAATTAAATGTGAGAAATGTGAATAACTCTTGGGACTCTTAATCAACACATTTGTTCTATTTCATGTACAAATTTGGAAGTTTTAAGCATTAGTCTTATGATCTAAATGCCTACATTCCCTTTAAAATTTTATCCATAGCAGAAAATACATTAACTGTGTGGCTGCTGAAAAGTTGTCTTGCAAGAGCTGCATGGTACTTCTTTTAACAGTGAGTTTGACTGTTATTGAGAACTCTGAAACCTTTAAAATTTAAGTTAACAAGGAGTCAATGGAAACTGCATTAGCAACTTAAAGAGGTTAGACCACGTCCACTTTGTTTCTTATAAAACTTAATGATCACCTGAGAGGGAAAAAAAGAAAAAAAGAAGGGGGGCTTCACTGCGGCATTCTGGTCAAACTTACTTGCTGGTTCTGTTCAAATTAGTTAGAAACTTGAACTATGTTTTTAGAAATCTTAATCTTAAATAAGTGATTTAGTACCCCCCATGCTGTGTATTATGACAGTATCCTTGTCTGTAGTATTTATAATGTTAAGATTATGCGGGTAACAGACAATATACTAGCCCCATCCTTAAATGAAGCTTTTGTACTGCAAAATACATCTGGCTATGTGATTTTTTTTTAAGCAAGATTTGTTTTACTATAAGTAAGTGGTTTATTTCAATGCAGGCAAAATTGTGAAGTTTTATTGGGAAAGATAGCATGCTTTTCATGTGCAAGTACCTGTCAGTAACAAATCTTTTTTATTTAAATATTTGTAGCTGCTATGTGGACAGTTGTTCTATTAAATGAAAAATGTAGTGTGGTCTGTAGCTCAATGATTGGAAAACAAGTTACAGACAAACCTTATCACCATAAATTATTCACAACATTATAAACAGTTGTGAGTAAATATTTCATGTTATCAAAGTTGTACAATAAAAAGGTAATGTTTGTATAATGTGGTTGCAAACTCTTAATTTATACTATTGCACTTTTAGTATTTTGTATTAGGGAGGTTTGTCTATAATTTGAAAATGAAAAAAAAGATGTAAACTATTTTATAAATAGTACTTTGGTTTAAGGAAAATGAAAAAGAAAACCTGTTACAGTTTCTTGTTTTGTCTTAAGGTCAAACAATATGAGAGATCTATGCTACTTAAATAGAAAAGCCACCAAGATTTGTCAGATCCTCAGTACAATAGGACCTGCCATTTCTAAAACTGAAATGATTTATTTAACTTTTCTACAAAGCCCATTAAAAACTGTGACCACCCCTAACAAAACTTTGATGAATTAATCTTAGGACTGTGACATCAATGCAAGCCCAGGAAACAGTAAGAGAACATTGTGTAGGTTTAATTTTACTGTAATCTGTTCTGTCTTTCTCACACACCCACAAACAAGACATTGACTGCCTCAGAGCACTGGTAATAACGTACAATAAACTGGGAAGAAATATTAAGTGTCTGGCAGTATAATCAGTCATAACTGTAAAATATTCCAAATTCCCAATTTCATGATTATCGTCTCAGATTACAACAAAGCACAATGTCCTCTGATTATTCTAATACCATTTTATGCTGATTACTTTGTTTAAATGACATCAAATAGCTAAAGGGACTGGTTCCACTCCTCTTAAGCTAGGATGCTGGTGAGGCTGGGGCTTAATCAAAACTTGAACAGTAAATGTTTTGTGTACTACCTCATTTTTGTGCATTACAAGCATGATGGAGTCTGACACTATGAATTTCCATCCAACAAAATTGTTCAAGGGACATCATGGGTAACTGGGTAACAGTGCAAGGAGTTGTATGCCCCTGAAGAAAGAATCAGACAGTGAGGTCTTCTCAGTTAAGACTGAAAAAAATAGGACAATCTCTTATATAACAACAAAAAAAAATTACTGTAAGAAGATGGACTATTTCTGCCATCATGTAATTGAATGAAAAGTGTTTTGAAGACTTGTTAGCTGTTTATTTCTATTGGAAATGTACAATGAACTATACAGCTCTGTTTTCTACAGTGGTGAAATAGAACTTCCCCATGTTATGCCATCTTTTACCACAAAATGTAGGGGAATCTGGGGGTTTCCAAACATTGGAAAAAGAAAACTGAGGTGGCTTAATGTTGCTGTAATTCAGCAGTTGAATGTTTTTATTTATATGTGTCATTTTTGGTGTGAATTTTTTGTTAGTATTTGGTACCATGTAGTGTTATCTCTTCTCCCTAAAGGATGTGTATAACTTAACAAAAGAGAGATGTAAAGTGTTGTAAATAAGATGGTTGATGAAGGTACAGTAAGACTGACCCCATTTTGTATTCAGGGTTAGGTCACTCCTCTCTGCATGGTGAAGAGAGACACTATTTTTATACTGCGATACCATGTAGGGCTAGGAGCCTCCCTGAACCAGCTGGGAATTGTTACCTAGATCCAATATTTTTTATGATTAAATCTTGTTGGCTTGACACATCTACTGATTGAAATGGATGTCTTAGTCTAGGTTACTATTTTTGTCATATGGAATTGAATAAAATGCAGGATGTAATATTATTTCTGAATTGCGTTCCTTGATTATTCTGACGGAAAAGTGAGAGTTAAGCTTATGGTCATTTGTGGTGGATGTACATCAGTGATTTTTCTCTAACCTTCATACATGAATGTCAACATAGGGTTGGCAAATTTAGGCCTAAGCAATATTTAAATGTATCTTAATTATACTTCAGCTATTAAGAGGCCTTTTTCTAAGAAGAAAATGCAGTCCCCTAAATGTGGATTATATATCTGCAGTGAAAAAAAGACGCTGTAGAAAAAATTCAAATATTTTGAAAGTATGGGCAGTGTCCAAAGGTCAACTATATTATGAAACACCTCTCAATTATCTGCATCAAGTGAAAAACATTACTCCTCTAGTCATTTCAACAAATAGATGGTGATCAAATCACAGGACATTAAAGGACATGGAAACAAATTCGCTAGCAGAACTGAATAAAAACAACAGACATCACTGAGACTTCATTCCCATCAAAGCCTTACATCTGTTCCCTCCAAAGAGAAGGTATCTTTTATGTTAAAATTCATACTATTTTGGAAATCACATTTGACAATCCTCAAAATTATCATAACTGATGGCATCTAGATTTTAAAATAACAGTCTGTTTCAAGTTCCCTTATAGAAGAAAAGAAAAACACACACACACACACACACACACACCATAATTATCCTCTTCTCCTATGCTCACAGAATTTACAACAATTTTTATTTCAGGAACTTGAACTTACTTCAGGTTCTGAAAAGATAATAAAAGTCCTAACTATTTGGCCAATTAATCATAGCTAAACTGACATTCTATTCGTCATTGTTGTAAAAATTTTTAAAGTTAAATACATTAATTTCCCAAATATTCAAATATGAATCCCAAATCTTCCCAAATATGAAAGGATGTAATATAAAGAGAATCTGTAAGAGGCAGAGAAAGTTCTCTCAGGGAATAGTAAGGATTTTCATGAGCACTTTAAGAGATTAAAATAAATTAAAAGATACAGAGCAAACACATAAAAATGTTTCTGAACTTCTATTTCCAAATCAGTCTTGATGCACAGTTCCTTCCGACATCAAGTAGAGGGTTACTTAGATTATACAAACAAGAAGAATGATGAATGTAACAATCCCTAAAAATTATATATACACATATATGTACATATTTATGTTATGTGTATATACACATACTATATATGTGTGTATATGTATACGCACACACATTCCTCTTCTAAGTTCATTATAAGAACTATTAACACTTAAAACTAATTAAGAGATACTGGTAAAGGGCTTTCTAACAATTGGTTTTAAACTCTCCACTGTTTAATTTTATCCCTGTAGAAGCTTGAAAACAGCAGGGCTTCCCACTACCTATGTTGCCTCGGTATTTGGCAGACATTCCATTGATCTTCCTTTATTTTATGTATTTATTTATTTGCAAAGCCACAGCAAACATCATGGGTATTTCTTTATTACTGTGTCGCATTTACATTTCCAACCTAATCAACTTCAAAACACTCTATTTTATGTTGGCTTTTTTCTATTGCCACAGCAGTCCAAACCTCTAATTTCTCTCCTCTACTATATGCTTGAAACAAGAATGATAATGATCCATCTTGTGTAATCAGTTCTGTGCCCAGTCTTTCACAAGTACGCTAACCAACCTGTATATGCCATTCATTGACTGTCCTTTGTGGCAAGGCCCAGTGCTCATTTGCTAATTGCTGTTACTGAGTGAGGAGTGGAGAGATTGTTTATTACTTTAGAAAAGTTCCTTACAATATGGTGCTTCAGGGGGAAGAGATGCAATAGCTCAAAAAGCACCTAACCAGGCTTTAAATCCATTTTCTGATTTTCAAGTAAGTCAGAATTTGGTTTCTAGAAAAGATCTTAAAATTACTGTTAACAACTATGAAGGCTAATTGGAATTTCCCTTTTCTTTTTCACCCCTCTTAGAAAGTACGACTCCTTCATATTTAACTTTGCTTATTGTCATTTGTGGAAAAAGAAAAAAAAAGTCAAAATAATACAACTCATAGTATAGTACATTTTCTAACTGCTCTTTTACTTAATATTACTGACATATAAATAAGTTTAGTGATAGATATCAACGACAGACTAACATACTCACTAGAGTATGATAGAGTTTTAAAAAACAAAAAGCACACTGGATCCCATGGAGTCAGGAGACATGGCCTTTAACCAGTTCTATGACTAAGTAATTAGTTGTATTCAACTTGTCCTCTTTGGGACTCAGTTTCCTTTTAAGGATGTTGGATTTAGATGATCTCTAGTATTCTTCCAGCAGTGAAATTCTGGAATGTGCTCCAAAAAGTGTGCACCAGGCAGAAATTCCCGACATGCATGGATAGAATACATATGAGTGGGTTGTTCAAGAATATTTTCTCAAGGACATATATATGAAGTTTATTTTAGAGGATAATGCTTGGCAAATTTATTAGATTCTGAAACTAATCAACATTTTTGAATCATGACAGATGTGTTCACTTGTATTTTTTTAACTAGGGATTTTTACCAAAAGTTCAATACTAATGATAGTTGTAGTAAAATCAAGACAAGTTATAAAACAAAATGAATTTTCTATTAGAAAAGGGCCTGTAAGAAATGGTTCCATTTTCCACACATATTGTATGCACAACTGTCTATACAGTAAAACATTAAACTGATCTCCACTTAGTCAAAACACTACATAGTTCAAAGCAACTATTATTTTAATTATTACTGCTTGTTCTTTCTTATTAAAATATTTGGCTAATTCAAATTTTTTTTAAAAGTCTGATTTTACTGTGCATAATTATTTTCAAACATGAAGAATGTTTTTTT